AAAAGGAAGGAGTTGCATTCTATACACGTGTAGCGACGCGGCGTAACACGCCCTTCGCCACAGGTTGCCATACGTATATATTTATATACCTATTGTAGGGTGTACACATACATACATACATACCACAGAGAGGGAGTGCGCCCGCGAGGAGGTTCCCACACGCGCGATTTCTTTTTTGGCCCACTACGCCTCCCGATTCTTATCTCCATTCTGTGTGTACATATAAATATACTCTCTTTCTTTCTTTCTTTCTTTCTTTCTCTGTTCAAGTTATTGTGATGTGTGTGAGTACATGCGTTCACGGCTTCTGCCTTGGTTTAATAAGTACAAGTATACTTGACACCGATGATGAGCCGAACGAGTGCTCGATTAGCTGTATACATTTTACGTTTTTTTTTTTTTTCTCTGCTTCCACCTTCTCGGTACCAAAAACTAAATTTGTCTTCTTCATCATCGGAATATACATTGTGATCTGCGTAGCCGCCTGAAAATTCAGGTCGCGAGATGTTATCGGTAGCACGTACATCTCAATTTAAGGTTGGTGAAAAAAAAAGGGGGGAGGAGGTGGTTGGAGAAACATCGTTGGGGCCAAAATTTTCCGAGAAGGCCTCGATCGTGCGATGTCCTTCGAGGTGCGTAAATCGGTAGCCGGGAGCTCGAGGAGTAACGAGGTCACTCGCCGTCACCGAGCGCGTCAGATCGGCAGCGATAACTTTCGTACACGGCTTTCCCCGCCCTCGCACGCGGTATAAGGTAACCGATTCCTCTCTCTCTCTCTCTCTCTCTCGGGTAACTTGTACAAGTATAGCGAGTATTACCAGCAGTGCCGACGAAAAAACGCGGGGAGTAGGTTTTCTCGCGCCGCGCGTGATTCGCCAGAAAATCGGAAATCGACTCTGACCGTACTATCGGTTTTTACAACTCCCGATTCCCCCGGACAAGGAGTTATGAATTATATCGGAACCGGCAACGAACGCGACACCGACGGATTCTCAAGGGAATGTAATCACCGGCAACAACAACAACAAAAAGGGGGATACACGAAACAAGCGCGCGCAAGTATATTAATGAAAGGGTGCGCGGGCTCGTAAACCACGTATGGTATACTCAAGGGGGTGGGGGCTTTCTTAAATTATCATCGTCATTACTCCCTCGGGTATAGTCGCAGTTATCCTCCGGACACAAAGGAGCCCATGTCTTATAGGTGTGCACATGGAAGCGGGGCCTTTTAATAAAAATGTAGCCGCGCGATATGCTGGCTACCGAGAGAGAGAGAGAGACCCGCAACAACGAGGATGAAGACGCCGGGGTTCCCCGCGCCGCGGGAGGGCCCCTTTTCTCCTTCTTCTCATCGCCACCGACGATATTTTAGCGCCGGCTGCTTTGGCGCACTTGTTGTTGTTGTTGTTTGTAAGCTTTTACTCCTGGGACCTTCATTTCTTTTATACCTTTTCGCTTTTCCACGCACACAGCGTGTATGCATGTACAGATTGTCGCTGGGCTCTTTAAAATGATCATTGGCTCGGAATTGATGGCGATTTAATGTTCAAGGGATATACCTCGTGCCCGTGCGCGGCTCTCGACTTTTACTTTTCCTTGCAGGTACATGATTATTATTATTATTATTATTATTATTATTATAATTATTATTATTATTACGATACAGCATCCTCGAGCCACTCGCTCGTACATACGTCGTGCACGGGGATGTGTACACGAGGCCGGCAAACAATTTGCGTAATGGCGCGAGCCTACCTCCCTCGTGTTGTATACCTCCGGCGAAATTATAGATTCTTGTTTCTGCGTTTCTTGCACGTGCAACGCGCAGGTGTAAGTATGTAATATACGGAGTGCGCTTAATATAACCGCGTGTCGCTTTGCTCTCATCTAATTATACGAAATTGCCGGTCTACCCTACAAATAGAGCCGTAGGAATTCACCCATATGAATCAAACACGCGTTACATGTGTTAGGTATAAAGCGCTTCATACCAAACATTCCGCGACTTGAAAATATCACATATGTACACGCCAAAGCATAAATCGCACATCATAAACATTATTCGGTGTATGTAACCCATACTGTATAATTATGTACGGAATAAACAAAGCGACGCATGTAAAAGCAAATGTCCAACTCGGCCGTATACCGCACATAGCGAGATATTTAATTCTGTCCAACACGTATATAGGAAAACAAAAACAAAAAAAACTCATATAGTTCTGGATTTAATTAGCCTCGGAATTAACGAGCCCTTCCGCGGCGCAGGTGTTAACTCGACGCAATACCAAATGTATATATAAACACGCGCGGCAAGGAGCGGAGTAAAATTTACCAACTGTGGCTTGAAAAGAAAAAAAAAAAGCGGCGCCTAGAGTATATATCTTGACGAGTGGCTACCCGATCGGCGGACATAAATCAGTGTACCTACAGCTGGAGCAACCGAGGAGGTACATATATACACGTGTACACCGTGCAAAGAGTTGATTATATGCTGTGGGGGTATATCGCTTTAGTTTTGTTTATTCAAATGGTCAACGAGGCAAAGGATTTATCGGCGGAAACTCGCTCGCGTTGATTTCGGCTCTCTGAAGGTGCCATTGGAGTTTGACGATTAATGGCATATATACATTTAATACCCACACCCAACGTACACGCGCGCTCTCGTATGATTAATGGGAATATAAATGGGCCGGGAATTAATGGATTGTAAATATCATGGATTTAGCCGGTCGTATATATTTACGCAACGCGTCACGTTACAGATATACACGTTAGAGCTTCCGACGGGGAAATTTTCTTTTCCTCCGGAGAATAAGAGTATACGCTATTGCCAAGGAACAACTGTATCGCTTATTTGCATGATAATGTTAATTGAAGACAATGCCAGCCGCGTGTTTTTTCAGTCGTAAAACAAAAGCAAAAAAAAAAAACAACGAGCACGTCACTCAAAGGTAGTATATACACGTGGACATTCACGAGAGGCATATGTGCACTGCTTTGCGAATGAAAAAATATTAAAGTGAGAAAGCAATCACTCGCGCCTGAAAAGTATATTATACACAGCGAGGGGTAGGTATACCGTATACACGTATAAAGTGATACTACGCTCTGGCGCGGCCCTTTCGTACCATAATATAATACGCTCGTATGTATGCATACGTGTAAAAATGAAAAAAAAAAAAAAAAAAAAAAAAGAGTACTCGACGTGTGTTTGAGTGCGCGCACGCGTTTCGGAGTCAGACGCAATTGTTCGCGGGGAGATTGACGAGTGACAAGCCGTGACGGGGCTCGCGGCACGCGCTGCACTTCACCCTTCCGTTTTGACTTCTCAATTGCGTCCGCGAGACCGAAGAGTAGCCATGTACCCATATTATATGGAGTATGTAGCCGAGGGATGGGACGTTTTGCAACTACGCGCGTGTGTAACGTTTTCCTTTATTCCTGTGGTACATATGTAGGTAAATATGTTTTTTCGATTTTATCAATAAGATCACGTGATGTACTTAAAACTAAACTCATTAACATACATCAGTCCATCACAGATATGAAATACATCTCGGAATGATTATAATTGTGATCTGTGAGGCTAAGCGACGAGTAATTGCGTTGTAATGTGCCCACGGTGAAGGTCAACGACACCACACACGGAGATTTCAAATTCATTAATGCAGATAGATACGCAGCTATCAGTGTCTGCTGTGTAATGGACAAAACGCTCGAGAGGTCGTTGATTCCTTGATTATACATTTTTTTTTTTTTTTTTTTTCACATCGGCGGGAGATCGTCGATTACTTTCCATGTTTCAGGGGAAGGGAAAAATGGCTCGGTAAAGCGTTTTCCGAAAAAGGAAAAAAAAAAAAAAAAATCCAATCGTTCGGCTGTACCGATCCATCTCAATAGCCGGCGCGTGCTGTCGGAAGGGGTTTACATTAGAGGCTCTTCGTCGGAGCTACTAGTGCAGAAAATAGACGTCAGCCGTACCACCTCGTGGAAAAGGAAGAAAAAGAAGAAGAGGCCCGCGGTTCGTGTTTCCCATCTCTTTGTTTCCTCCCTCGAAATCGAATATCGAGACCAAGGTGCTCGCCCCTCCCCTCCGGACAAGCATGTATTTTTATACTAATTTTACTCAATTGCCCCTACACGCAATATTATACACCTGCTTCCGCGAGGATATAATGCCATATAATGCGTATCCTCCATTGCGCAACAGCATTGCCACGTTCGTTTTTTTTTTTCGTTCGCGTAATCGCCACCCGGCAATTGAGCCAATGAATGATGATGCCTGTACGTATAATATACACCGGTAGAGCGGATATCGTTGTAAAAATGGGAGCAAGTGTAATACATATACTTGGATTTTTTTTTATTTTTACATGTTTAAAGGTATTGTAAATGTAGAGGAGGAGGAGGCGCCACGGGCCCGACGAGCAGGCGTTACTTTTCGATACCCGAGCGCGTGGGAATAGCACCGTGGCGTGCCTCTCTTCCCTCGTCCGGTATATATATATACTTGCACCTTTCCTTTTTTTTATTTCTTTATGCTCTCTTAAGTATATACCTTTTTTTTTTTTTTTTTTTCATTTCATTTCATTTCGAGTTTTTGATTGGTACGGCCTCTCTCGCGTTGGGTTTCGTTTACTGAGGGGCATGCGTGCAGCTCACGGTGAGCTGACATGCTCCTACCAGGTGTAGGTATTACGCAAATCAATTAAAAGGAAAAACAAAACAAAAAACCACCGCAGGTTCAATGAAGACATTGGCACGATTTAAGTACTTTGTCAATTTTGTGTATCGTCCAATACTGTTTTCTACGAGTGCCAGCCCTTTGACTTACACACCATTACGACAGACAGCGAGACTCGAAACCCAAATTGGTGCAAGACTTTTGTACGAGTGTACTCCCGATCAGAAGTTCTTATACTATCTCGTATAGGTCAAGTATAATGTGACAAGATATAGCGACAATATGTGCAATAATAACACCATCAGTGGCTTACCTGGACTGTCGCGGGCTCTGGATCTGCCCGAGTACGAGTAGGGCTATCACGGCCACAGCGATGTCACCGCAACGCATCTCTTACATCACCTCCGACGGAGCATGTGCACATATATGTCTTGTTTTTCGGCGAGCCGATGCTGCTGCTGATGCAGGATATAAATATATATATATGTACTCGCTCACAAAAAAAAAAAAAAAAAAAAATCACGGCGAGTTTACAGGTTGAACGAAACAACCGAGCACTGCCCGTCGATCCAACACTGCGCGAGGATTTACAACACCGGCATCGGAGTACGCAGAGTCCTGCGGAATCCGACACCCGGCGACCCGGGTTGTTTGCTCGCCCCCCCACAGCCCCTTTTTACACCAACGCACCCCCGATGGTCCCTCTCCGTGGACGCACAAGCAACGAGGACCTTCTAGCCGGAAGGATTTTTTTTCTTCTCCTCCTTGCCGGTGTTTGGATCGAGGCGATCGGTTCCGGCTGCGACGATGGTTATACCGATGGCCAGCTTCTTTTACCGGTGATGCGTATAAAGAAGGGAAAAAAAAAGTGTCAGGCACAAGATATGTGGAGGTTGACGAGAAAGAAGAGGACCACTCGCCGAGCCGCGTATAAACTGGCACTTGAAACTCGACGGAGCGTATATATTATAGTATATTACGTGAACGTCGTCACCTGCCGTCGCGCCGTCAGCGGCACCGCAGCACACCCGGACCGGCCGCGACGCGTTTCCCCGTAGCGTCGACAGCAACCTGTCGGCAGGAGCGCCTCAACCCGGGCACCAACCCGCGCCCTATCCCTCCCCCCCTGTCGCTCCTCGTCATCGTCCTTTTTGCTCCCCTATACTCCTCTTCCGTTGCACGTTACCGCTGATTTTCACACTTATCGGGGTTACCTCGTTAGCCGCTCGCCGATAACGACCACCTCTGTGAATCACACGAGCTCGCCGCTGCTCTTCTTACTCGTCAACGCATTGTTGTCTCCCTCTCGTGCACAGCCGAGTCACTGAACAACCATCTCAATTGCCCCGATTTCAAACGATATACGGACAAACTCGTGGGGCCAAGGGGCTGCGAAAGGGGTTACACAAATGTACACGGTGGAGTGCGCGGAGAGCGCGTGTTCGTACGAGATGAGGGCCCGCGATGGACTGCCGGTCCGGCTCTCAAGTGCGCCTATACCTTTGGGGGCCTCAGGTCCCGGCAGCAGCGCCTCTCTATGTATACGTATACGTGTATGGTATGTTATATACCTACGACGTGTTGTGCGAGGCTCGCACGCACTACACACACCGGCTCTATCTCCCCCGATGTAATGTTTCTTTTTCTCTCTCTCTCTCTCTCTCTCTCTCTCTCTCTCTCTTTCGTCCTTTCGTTCCTTCTCTCCCTGAACGCACAAGACTGCGTTCCTCTCTTTCGCTCCCATTTCCTCCCTTTTTTTTTTCTTTTTTTCTCCTTCTTTCGTCTCGCAGTGCTATGTACACGGGGTCCAGAGCGTTAAATAACACGTCTCCACTTGACCGAAAGGGATGATGTGCGAGGGCTGCTAATTTCGCGCCCCTCCCCGCGTCGTCGATTATAATTTTTTTTATGAAGGGGACCCCCTGCGCTGTTCAATGACTCCTTAGGTGGCGATCGCCGGACACGATGAATATTTATACGCGAAAAGACCCCCGGGGCAGACTATTCCTCCTTTTTCTTTTCTTTTCCTCCGCCGCGTTTTAGAAAATCTCAAATAAGCATTAAAAAAAAAAAAAAAAATACCTTTTTGGGATGATATAAATCCTTGGTTTCGTCTGAGTGTGGTTACACGATTATGTACGAGGTTTTTTTTTTTTTTTTTTATTGCGCGGCCTGTGGGTGTTTTTCAAATAGATTTGTTGGGTGGAAAAATAAAAACAAAAACGTGTAGGAATCCCGCTTGCAACGATTGTGCGGCCTTTCGGGGAAAACATTTTCTTCTCAAATTGAGAACCTCGAGCTTATATAACTTATTTGGCTGTTGAAACTGTGGAAGAGGCAAAAAATAAAATAAAAAGAGTTGACCACCGGATATGGCCAGATACCGTTATTTATACGCAAAAATAAGCTAATCGAAGGAGCCGAAATCGCCACACAAGTCGAGGGCAATAAAAATCGAAGGATCCCAAAGAGGAGGAGGAGGAGGAGGAGGAGCGGTCGATATACACTACGTTGGTTGTTTTTTTTTTTCCTTTCCTTCGAGTATGGGCACCAAAAGCGACGATTTTCGCTCGATCCCTCCTCTCGTTCCTCTTAAATCACGCGCGATTATGCGTAATGATATGTAATTAATGGCGTTTCGTCAGGAGTGGGCCCCCCTCCCCTCATCTCTTTTTGCTCGGCGTCGTTTCTCCATACAGCGGAGCCCACCTGGTTATCGGCTCCTCTTCTTCTTTTTTTTCTTTCTTCCTTCTTTTCTCGCTCGACCATCTCGGTACGTGTAGATATATGGGATGGATATACCCCCCCCCTCCTTTTTTGGTTGTAGTATAACACAGCAGAAGCAGCTACTTTCGCTCTCTTCCGTTGCCTTCTTTTTTATTCCGTTTGTCCTCTCGCAACTGATTTGGTGAGAAAAGAGGCCACATATCGATTTTGAATTTTTTTTTTTTAAAAAAAGGTACTACCCGGTAAACGAATTTAAAACTGATACAAAAATTTATTTAACCGAAGGTTAATTTGTTGTAAGGAAAAAAGCGTGGATGTTTAATTGCCAACTTTGCTTCAATCAATACTTGAAAATATTGATATAAACTATCAGGTGAAAGAAATTTTGATAATGACCTTTTATCAGGAATATTTTACGTTTTAAAAAATAGTTTATCACTTTCGAGGCTCTCCCGATAGTTTTAAGGTCATTACCGTCCGATAATTTTCAAGTGCAGATAACGTGATTCTGAAAACTAAAATTAATGAACTGATGATGAATAAACTTGCTCACGCAAACACGTTGAATCCAATAACAATACGTGCATCGGTGGACCGTATTCGAAGGAAATTTATGCAAAATGTGTACTAATGTCTCGATCTCAGCGTATATTGTATTTCCGTCAGCAAAAAAAAAAAAAAAAAAAAAAAAAAAAAAAAAAAAACTAACAGCTCGTAAAAATTAGTATTCGAAAGTTTTTTCAAATAACACAGCCATTGCCTGAATTCTTAGTCAATTTGAGACCATTAGTATAGAAGTTGCTGTTTATTAAGCGTAGGCAGCTCGTTAAAATATTTTTCTTATTTATCGATGGTTCGATTTTTTCGTTATTACCGTACTACTGAAACGGATCATAAAAATCTGGAAACGATCAAATTAAAAGCTTAGGTGTTACGGATGATTTCACCTACAACGGCACGAGTGTCGAATTTGTTTATACGATTCAAATGTTACACGTGTTATCTGGATTTCCAAAATTGCAAAATGACAATTACGTTTTTGACTTGGACATTAGTCAAATAAGTAATTATAATAACGAACGAAAAAAAATTCACACTTTCCAGGCATGACTTGTTCGAAAATATTAAAGAGTTTGACCATCCAAAAACGAAAATTTCCGATAGCTGATTTTATTTTATTTAAACAGCGACATTAATTTAGACAATATATGAGATTTTTTATAGAAGTGGGTATGAATTGTAAAAAAAAAAAAAAAAAAAAAATCACGGCGAGTTTACAGGTTGAACGAAACAACCGAGCACTGCCCGTCGATCCAACACTGCGCGAGGATTTACAACACCGGCATCGGAGTACGCAGAGTNTATATATATATATAGGTATCGCGACTCGCACGCGCTGTTCCATATCTGATGTCAGTCAGTCACTTTGAGGGGAAGAAAAATTGCACGCCTGAAAGCCCACCGAAATCGCTGGCCAATTAGAGGCCCATTGTCCACGTCCAATGGCTGCAGAGCCAAATTAATCGCCGCGAGAATCTCCCACCACCCCCGACCTTCTTCATGTCGTGCGTGCAGCACCGATTGCAAGGGAAACGGCTTAAAAGGCACCGATTTGCCGTTGGCTTTTGTCTTCCGAATCGTGCCTATACTTATATACCTTATATCTTCAACAGGTCGCTCGTTAAACGTCACCCCGGCTCCCATACCCTCCACTCCCCCCATGTGTACGTATAACCCCATGCGTGTGATCCGGCGTCTCGATACAGCCGACTACACGCTACTCGGCACGCAAGAGAGACCATATACACTTTTTATACGCATAGAAACGACTTCCTCCCGTCCTTTGCCAAAACTATCGGGAGCAATCGATCTACACAATGCAGCACAATATAGGGTACAAATATCATATACCCTTCTCCTCTATTTGTTCATCATCATTTGCCGTTTAGTGTAATTAGTTAATCCAAGCGTGGTAAAGTAAGCACGTTTAAATCGTGCAGTTGAAATTTTATAAAATTATGTCGTGGCCGTGTGGATAAGAGTTTTAAGAACAACTGAATCTAGTGGTTAATCAGTTTTACTAAATTGGACGCTTTTGAATGGCAAAAATCAATGTAGGAAAACTGTGGAGCGACAAAAGTATAGGCTGTCACAGATTCAACACGCGTAATGCAAGAAATCAATGACAGAAACGTTTTACTCTCTACGGCATTCTCGTGTCAATCGTTGATGAAAAAAAAAATATATTTTAGTGTGGGTGCTCTTTTCTTTTTTTTTCCGCGCGTCGATGGCGTATACGTGTTTTCAATATGGTACGCGATGAGGCGCAAATTGCAGCTGTCAAAGCAACAGTGGCCGGGGAGCTTACGAGCCAGCTGGGGCATTTAAAGACGTCGGCGTAACTCTAGCGCGAGGAGAACGGAACAATCGCGGAGAAGGAAAAAAAAAAAATCACGAAACAGAGCCGGTGACGCCGCGTATTTTCATCATTTAAACTCCGTTTTGTACGAGATGTCAAAAAAAAAGGTGTATATATAGAGAAATGGGGGGGGGGGACAAGCAAAAGAGGGTACAATGGGCGCGCGTATATATACCGTGCACCATGTGCATGGGCTTTCGACGAGTCGGAACGAACTGGAGACAAACGACAGGAATCATGTCTG